TACTTCCGAAGACAGTGTTATTACAAGCATGCCAAGATCTGAAATCGAACAAAAACTGGATTTTTACAGGAAAAAAGATGCAGTACCAAATACGGTAAAGGCTACCCAAAATTTGATGAAGAAGTTTAATGAATTTCGGCATCATTATAATTATGTCACACCAATTGAAACTCTTTTAATTGAGCAACAAATATGTGAATTTATTGCGCAAATGACAAAAAAAGATGGAGGTGAATACAAAGCTAAATCATTAAACAGACAGGCTATCGATAGAATAAATAGATATATTAACAAAACCGGTGCAATTCGTGGTCTTAATTTACATGACAAGTATCAATTTCTGGATTTACATGATATTTTAAATGGTAAAATGAAAGATTTATAGGAAAGAGGATTTGGTGAAAAGGAAGGATCTATGGCTTTAACAGCGCAACAAGTTAAAGAGATTCTTAGTGATAAGTTTTTAGATCCTAAAACACCACAAGGCTTATTGTATAGAATTTTTTTTCGTAATGCAATAATTTTTGCATGTCGAGGTAGTGAACACTATTCACTTCAAAGTAATCAATTTCAAATTCAACCTAACAGAAGTATTTTATTTTACCAATATCGTAGTAAAAATAATCAACGAGGAATTCAAGGTGAAAATGCACACTGTATTCAGTTACCACCTGATTCATCAGATATTCCTGGACCTGTTAGCGATTTTACCAAATATATTTCCAAACGTCCACTAGGTGCTTCTGATAATTTCTATTTGCAACCAAACCCAAATTGGCGTAATACTAATATTTGGTATCTTAAAACTCATTGTGGTTTGAATCAAGTTGGAAATTTTATGAGAGATATAGGGCAAAAAGTTAAAGTAAAATTTCCGGATGGTATCTTAACAAACCATCAGGAAGAAAAACTGCAGCCCAAATACTTCAGGATACTGATATACCAGAGGATGCCATTATGAATATTACAGGACACAGAAGTTCACAAGGATTACGTGCATATAAAACTGTTAATGAAAGTCAAAAAGTCAATACAATGAAAACTTTAATCAATACTATGGAACCGGCATCAAATA